TTTTGTCACCATTTGGGTACGGAACCCTAAAATCTATTTAGATATAAAATCCATACCAACAATCTCAAGAAGGCAACCGAAGTGGGTGATAAAGCTGTCAATCTATTAAAGTTTATAAGGGACTCTGTACACCTCTGACCCCATTGTTAACCTATATCATCGTCAATTGATTTATGTTTTGTCTATTGTTACTTAAATACACAGCCATTATACATTTATAATGGATTATAGCGAAACTATATAGATATTGTGATAAGACTCTACTCGAGCAAGATAAAGATCTTTCCAGACTTCTTGCAGATTCCGTGATCACAAAATCAATGTTCGTGCAAACATTAAAATGTACAATTTGCTTAAGCTAAATAATGCTTACGATTTACAATTCACACAACATTCACACAAATGACTTGTTCAACTCAAACAAATTAAATCAGGCCGTCGTCACTTCTAACAAAACAAATGATCCCGGCCTATTGTGACAACTCTCAGATGAAAAATACAATCCTACTAAAACAAAAAGCATTAACCCTGCACTGAATCGCGTATCTCTGTTAACATTAATATGTTAATTTAATTTAATAATAATTAGTATGTTACATTTTGCAGTACAACCGGACTAAAATTAATATTTTAGTCCGGTTGTACTGCAAAATGTATGTTGGGATTCTGCAATAAAATGTATTCCTTCATCAATAAAAGTCAAGTTCAATTAAAATATTGTTTTCAAAGAATTTATTGTAATTAGTTAGTGTTAGTGTTTTTGTTTTCTGAACTAATCATAATGTGTGGAAAGAGTTAGCGCCAAACCTTTCTTACTCGGATATATTTTTTGCCAGATTCCCACTGTAACCTAACAGATAAATAAATGATCGTAAATTTGTTTTTATTTTGGGTATACCTTTGTATATACAGTAGGGGTAACGGAAAGGGTACGCAGGACTTAGATTTTTTTTTGCAAATTTTATATAAGGTACTTCGGCTTAGCCGAATTCATGCTTTTGGGACCTGGAATTTTTCAGAGGTGGTGATGTTCCCATGACCCCGAATATTTTTATTGAAATATATTGTGAGGGTGATAAGCAAAATTTTTGTATAGGACACATTTTTGTTAACCCCCATCTTCATGATCCCAGTAGTGCCTCTATACCTAAGGGGACACAGACAGAATTTTTCTTCTTTTAGAAAGAGGAGGGGTGAGGTCCCCATGACACCCTATTTTTTTGATGGAAATGGGTTGTGGGATAAGGAACAACGTTTTTATGGGACACTTTTTGGATAACCAACTTTGTCAACCCCGAAACACTACGGTCTTGGTCTGCCATGGTCTTGGTCTGGCTTACCCCTAGAGTGTTTAGAGCCCGGAATGCACGTCCTTACATACAAAATGACAAATACAAGGCGCACACTAATCGTATTTTTTCAGAATGGAAAAATACCTAATACTCCTCATATTATTTTTTATTAATTAAAAATTTCACAGTACCTGTACGGTTAATGTTATTTATGTTTTTATTTTTTCAGTTTCACTGCAACAGAAACATTGCAAGTGCAATTTGTAAATGCAAGGCTGGCCTCTCAGAGAAATGTAAGCACATCTTCGCTTTAGTTATATATTTAAATTCTCCTGAAAGCATCAAATCCAAAACTAGCGATGCCCAACAATGGGGAAAACCATCTTATCGGTAGTTAATAGAGTACAAGATTTGGATTGGGCACACTCGGCATCACCTTCGTTGTGCACGTTCCCTATATCTGCCCGAGTGCCTACCTATGGAAGAGATGGGTTGACCCGCCGGATGGAAGGACCCCTGTACTCTTTCATGATTGGCCACCATAATACCACACCCATTTTTAACCGGCATGACTTCATACTTCATTAACACATGGATCCGTTTGCAAACCAATGGCAAAGTTTTTACACTTTCACAGCGCTACAAGAGCAGCACAAGCCAGACTATAATTTCCTTCGATTTTTGTTTGAATTTATTGATTTATAAACAAATTAACAATGTTGCAACTCGATTAAATTCTAAGGCCCAATCTGCCGTGCAATTTTACGGCAAACACTAAAAAAGTGGATACGAATCATTATATGTATAATCAGAACTGGGGAAAATTCAAACCCAGCACGAACTACAGTGAGATTGTAACCGAGAAGCTATGGAGCAGAACGCAGAAACGAATAGGTTGGCAATAACACGGTTTTTAATTTAATTAAAGCTATACAAATTAAAGTTCCGACAAGTAAATTGTTATTGAAGAAAGTAGGTACTTAATTGTTTGATTACATTCATGAAACGTGCTATCTATTTACTTCCTGCACGTGCATATTGTTGTCTGAAGAGGACAACATTGTATTTTTACTGCATTTAAATATAGCATTTTTGTCGACAGCGTAACTAGCATACGGCATAGCATTTATTCTTCAACACATTTGCTCAAAAAATGCATTTACGAAGCTTGTGTACCTACATTGTTCGAAAATTCAAAATTACGGGTCATACAGCGGAGCGTGCAGTAAAATTAATTACGCACATTAATATACTCTTACTAAGTAGACCATCAGAAGAAAGGTAGAATAAACAAACAGTGCCACTGGTCTGTCTATAAAATCTTGTGGTTAATGAGTCATAATTTCTGACATGGATCACGTTTCCCATACTGTAAATTTTGCCCATTCGAGTATTAATATAATAACTGAAATAACTATAATTATAAATGTGTTCTTATTCTGATGGGATTGTCATTTTTTTATATAACTACGTTATCGTTAAGCATACGTGATCATAAAACCTATATTTATAAGATATAGAACAATCCAAGATTAAACAATATTATAAAGACTCTTTACGTTTTCTCTCTGATTATGTTTAACGTAAACTCGTTATTATTCCTTAATTTTAAAAACGTTAAAGTATTCCTTATATACATATAAACGAATATGGTAAAAGCCCAATTTGTCATCTCCCTAATATCTTAATAACAAATAAATCTAAGAGAAACTGCGGAAAAAATAGGAATGCGGACAAAGACAAATTTCCTGTCTTTCCAAAGCTACCATACCCTTGGTAACAAAAGACATATTCCTCTTAATATGATTCCGGTACTTATAAAGGCGGTCCTAGCAAACAGTAAAGTCAACAAGAAAATCGTGGACAAATTGCCTCAAACGACCACCACACTAACATGTTTAACCGAATTAACTGATTTTAGAAAACACTAGTTGTCGACGACCGTGTCACCGGGTACAACTCGCTGATGTATGTATGTGCCAAATTGTGCGTGTCATGTCTCATTTAGACACTCGCACATAGCCAATGCACTGCAAAGGAAATTGAAAGATCAAAGAAGACAGGAAGTCCGCATTAACGTCGCATCACTCGACTTCGATCCACAACAGTTGGACTGTTCGACATCTACGGTCTTCTGCCTCCACGACGACCGCCAACAAAGAAATAAACAATCTTCATTTGCTTACTTTGAAGGATGGGTTCTTATTATAATGCCCTATCATTATGTATATGCACGAATACACCATCAGGCACTACCTACATTTGGTAAAGGAAAAGAGAAAAGAGAAGATGAATAAAATTAAAAGAAAGAAACGAGTGTTTTCTCTTCTCGAAGATGTTTTTTAAGAGTATTATGAGGATGGTTAAGGAGATCACGGCAACCTTGCTGCTGACAGCCCTGCAACGACGGCCAATTGACAATTTGCGCGGCGAGCGACCGGATGAGGCGCCGACTCGGAGCTCATGCCTCCCCCTTTTAACTTTAGCAACGACGGCTTAACCGCGGCAAATGGCTTCCAAGCAAATTTACCTAATCACACCTTCGCTCTTTATTACACGTGAATCAATTTATGCCTCCCAAACTGGATTCGACAATTGCCCGGCGTACCTATCGGATAATTGTTTACCTGCTAAAGTCAAAAGCCTCGCTAGCGACAGAAATTGGGTTCATGTGACTCTTTGTAACACTTTCGTAATTACAGATATCGTTAAGAAACTATGCGGCGATTTATAAATAATATCTGAAATCAATTCCTACTTGATTGGTGTTGATTTGTACTCACAATACACAACAAGTTTCTTCCATCGGATCCTAACAAGACAACAAGTGTATGGGCGTACCTCCATTTGAATTACACTAGCATTAGTCCGAGTTTTCTGTATGTAAACAACACCGGTAACGTGATCTACCTTACTAGAGCGTCGCGTAGAGTGGAAGTTTTTCAACAAATTCATCTAGCATTTGCATTTCAGCTTGTTACTAAACAAAATATATAGATAGTTCGTTAAAATCAAAAGATATATTTTAAACATAGAGAAAGCGTAATTAATTAATATAAAATAGTAATGAGGATGATTCATAAAATTAATTTTGATTGAGATTTACTAGATCTGAAGTACCTAACAAGAGCAACATTGAATAATTGAAAAATGACTAAAACTCTCACTAACTTAGGCAGCCACGCCTGCTATTGACAAGAAAATCAAGACAACTGGGCCGCTGCACATTAATTTATTGAGTGTGTAGCTTGATTCGGTCAAGAACATGCTGAGCGCTTTGTCATGATCAGGTCTATGGTACTCACCTTTCTGTGTAACCATTTAAAAGTTCAATCTAACTCAAAGTATGAACAGCATACCTGGATTGGTTACAGCCATGATGATAGAATCTTCAGCTTCCCATACTTACAAGCCGCCGCGGTTGAGCCGCCTAGTCGTCACCGACACTAACTACACTTTGAATAACTGGCACTCGGGTCGCCAATAAAATATACTGCTCCAAGATCCATCCGAGCCACTCTGCAATAGGGAGTGACCTAGCTATTCACCGGGAATTGGACGCACTTCCGATCTCCTTTGATGTAACCTTGCAGGTGTGCACTTGTGCCTCCTAGGTGCCGCAGAGAGGGAACACTCCTCGTTCGCTACAAAATTCAATGGAAGTTGGTGTTCTGCTCTCAAATAATATATGTTAAACGGTGGTCGTACCTCGGTCGGAGGTATTCATGTCTTCGTGGTGATGAGAGCGCGACACAGGCGACCGAGGACGTCGCCACTGGCGTCCGAATGCCACTACTCGCGCTCAAACGGACATAATGAACCCGCCGGAGAGCTCGTCAAAAGAAGAATACGGAGGCCAATTATTTATTTCCATACAATACACGTAGGTACGTCGGGCTCGCTCAGACGCAGTGCGGGAGTGAGTCCCGTCGCCGACACCACCCGCCGACGCAAGTCACCGGACTCAAACTTGATATTCATCTAATTGACACTAGTTCAACATTAATAGATGAGCACTTAACATTTACTTCATGATCGACATACACAACATCAATAAGATAAAGCGAATGCATTGTTAATTGCTAGGCAGATTTTGGAACCTACTTTAGCAAATGTGTTTAGAATAAGTACAAGAATTTTCCTTATAGTTTTCTTCCAATATTAAGCGTTATCGAACGTTTTAAAAACGAAGAATCCTTATCAATACTCTACGGATATTAAATGATTGAATTGTAGTTAGAAAATATTTGCAACGGTTCCATAACAATTGACTGCATTAATTAATTCAATACAGTTTAATTTCAATGCAGCCTAAGATTTCAAAATAAGTAATATTCTACGTATCGTCGATGGTAAACATTTCCATTCATAATACCTGGCTAGACTGTTTATAAAATAAGAGTAAAAATTATTTACAAAATCAAATACTACGTTAGTACCGACGAGACTATAAACATAATCAAGCCTGTTGATTTATAAATTAAGTTCTCTAAATTTCCGAATCCATCAGTTAATCAAGAGCAATACTTCTAGGTAATTCGGTTTTCCGCCGTTAACAGATCTTAATCGGTATAATTCAAGCCGGTCAGATGTCAATTTGTAGGCCCTTCCCTTCCCCAAACTAAACATCGTGTGCCGAGTGCCGACAGCACGCACCTATGATGAAGTAGGTAAATACAATCCGAGTACTGTGAATCGTAACTCTGGGCTCACGCTCGAATGCAGAAATGACTATTATTCCATGAGCAATAAAGTGTTCGAAAGAATCCAGTAGGTAACAGCTGAGTAGGTATATTGTACCTACTATAAAGGTGTGGCCTGAATAATTCCAGGATTGAACGTACTACACTTTTGTTCACTAGTGTCTACTCTACTCACGTGAATTCTGCCATAACGCATCATCAATTCATGCATGGAATTTGGGTGTATCTAGTAGGCACTAAGTGTATGTCAATAAAGATCGTACCTAGACTTAAGTTAATGCGAAAATTTTTAATAGTCTTTCTCTACCTGTCGTTTCATGCTCACCTTTTTGGATAGACGGTAGACGGTAGTACTACATAGCATAGCTACAAGTAGTAAACGTTCCAGAGAACGAGTAGCCGACTACGCGATGTCTGGAACGCGCTATCCGTGCGCACCTTTAGATGATACATTTTTATTTCTTAAAACAACTGTTGATTTTTTACTACATACTTTAGTTGACTTACATTATTAAAGTCTTTATAATTTAACTGTAGTTTACTAAGTTCACAAGCCGAAGCAAAGCAGATCGCTTGCGCGTATTAGATGTTACAAATAGTTGACGTTTTCGCAAAGATCTTATGAGTATGGTACAACGCCATTTTTATTTACTAAATTTAATCGCATAGTTTTCACTTTTAAAACTGTTTAGTCGTTGTTGTTCGAGTCCAATAGCTGTTGATATTAAAAATTCGGCCAGACGTAAATGTATTGCATGCTTTTCATGAACTTTCACGGTAGCTACCATCATGATGTTTGCTACATTAATGAAAAATAAAACTAATGTTTTTCAAAAATTCAAACGGAAATGCCGTTGTTTATAAAACCACACATTTCAAATGCTGTATTTACAATAGTCTCAAAATGTATTTTAATTACGATGAAGTGTGTAACAAATGACTAAACTATCTATATATAGGGTGAAATTGAATGTTTCTATGAAACTTCGTGAGATTGTTGGGTTATGTGTATAGAGTATGCCTGTTTTTTTTTCGGATTTTTTTGAAGTATATTTTTTTCATGTATTTATTTATAATTTTTTAATTTATGTGTGTTTCCTCCTTTTGAGTAGTTATTCATTTTAAACAAACAAACTTACATATCCAGTGAAAAACAACTAATAAATAAGCACTTCTAAAAAACGGAAAAACATTAAAATTCCACCGCGGGTCAACGACCGACCGCGCCCGCCAGCCGTTGAGTGAGTAGGTACTGTAACGTCCGGTACGTTACTACCTCCTTGTTTAGGTAAACTCTTTGCTTTTGCAATGCCTACGGTTGGCAGTTATATTAAAAAGTTAATATCATGATTTTAAGATTTGAAATAAGGAATCGTCTGTCTTTTGATAGAAGGTTCCATTCAAGAGTAGATCTTCAGGCACCAAGAAAACCTCTCGTATTTAGATAAAATTCTTTATATTCGCCTGAATAAAATAAATCTCTACCAGTATCTTTTAATTAATAATAACGTCCCCAGGTTCTATCCATTCTGGTATAGAGCTCCATAGTACCTACCTCTACACAGAGCTCAGCTGACTCTTGATTCCACACAATACAATCAAATCGTCTTAGATGCCTTTATTGAAATTCAAATAATAAGCACAAATGTCATCTTCTCTTAAGCAGAGAAAAACTTTAAAAGTTAATAATAATTTTGTCACGATTGGAAATAGGCAAATGTTAAACAAAAAGAAATACTTATTGCAGTTCAATCCTTGGGTCAGAATGAAATTTATAACCAGGTATTCAAAAGTACTTACGAGACCGGCGATGTAGGTAGGTACAACGAGGAACGAGGAACATATTCATTTTTTTCACTAGAACTTTTTATCAAATCAATCACACTTGTAGTACACAATTAGTTGTTTCTAATCAAAAAGTATTTACACTAGCAATAAAAAGAGACTTGAATTATTATCTGCAAAATTGTTGATCTAAACCACCATTTTGCTGCAAACATGTATTGCTGCAAACAAAGGTGGGCATGTTTGCGGACGTGTCTTTTCACCTTTTTTAAAGTGTCCCTATCACTACTCACTGCACAAAATGCAACTTCTATGGTTTGGGGACTCATTCGTAAACCAAACCTACTTCGTCACACTCGCGATAGCAGTACACCATCTCTAAATATTCTTGGTTCGTATACCGAGGCATAATGAAATTATCACAGTGTATGTCACTAAGTCAAAAGATGCGCACGCTCACGCGCGATTGATATACTTGCGACTGCGTTTTGCATGCAATCAAAGCAAACCACCGCGTGCGGGGAAGAGGGGAGGTGGGCGGAATTCACATCATCAAAGACGCCGCAACCGGCGCTAGTTGCCAGTACTTGCCAGCGTGCGGCGCGCCGCCCGCCCGTGCTTGCCGCTAAACAACATATTGTTATGTGTGTGTGTGTGTGACTGTGGCTGTGATTAAATGTGTTGGGAATTTCATGACGTGGGCAAATCAGACACGAAGAGTTCCTTCCTTCACTAAGCTCGTAAGTTATATCGATTTGCTCTGTATGATTTTCCCCAATTTTAAATAAGCCGTTTGTGCTTAAGTTTTAATTAAACGAGGCAACTAACATTAACAATAAAAAAGAAGTTCTTACACTAACAGACAGGCTTTACCGATTTAAAATCGTGACAGTCATATTAACTTTATAGGATTTTTAATTGCTCTAACGGAAGATTTTTTTTATTGATTAATAATTACCTGTGCTTTATGAAATAATATCATTATTAGCATTATTAGCATCTAAGACAGACTATTTTATTGTAATGTTTTTAATAGTGTGGATCAAAGCGGAGAGTAGGTAAGCGCCGAGTCATCTGCGCGTGTAGTAGGTACCTACACAGGCGGCTGCCGGTCGTCGCCCCGACCGGCGCTGATCTCGACTGGAGGCATAATGAAGGCATTCATTAAGTTTCCGTTTTTTTAGTAGTGCTTATTTTAAGTTGCTTTATAACTTCTATGTAGACGTGTTTAAAATGAATAATTACTCATAAGGAAGAAATGACAAAAAAATAACCAAATAAAAAATTAAAAAACGAAAAATTTTATTTTAAAAAATCCGAAAAAAATCAGGTATACTCTATACACGTAACCCAACAATCTCACGAAGTTTCATAGAAACATTCAATTTCACCCTGTATTAAATTAATTATGCAAATCTCAACTAAACATTTTACAACACATCATGTCCTATTCATATTTATAAATAAATACATAAGTATATTTTAAAATAAATGATGGTTAGGATCATGTGGGGGACAGTATAACAAGGAACACAGTGTAACATAAGGAATATAATCTGCCCTTTTCTTTTTTGCCAAAGATTTGTCTTGACGTGTTTTATCAGTTTAGTCATCTGACGTCAAATAGCCGGGTTTAATTCACACTGTGACCTTTTTTACACTGTCCCCCAGATGACGCTAAATAAAAATCTCACCACCTAAGGACATCTAAGCTAGACAGACCTGATTGCCTTCTCGGTAACTGTGATCCAAGTTTTTTGCGCCTCTTAAATTAAATAGATCATAGAAGGATTTTTCACCTAATGACTTCACATGGGATCTACATAGATTGACTGTTTTTTTGGTTCCTTTCGTTAACAAAAGTCAATTTACAAGTATTGTATCATAGAAACATTTTATTATAATTATCTTTGTGAGAAACTGAAACCATACGAAGTGGTGGTATCTCTAGTAATGTGCTATAAAAAAATATCAACGCAAATTTATTTATTTAGTGTTATGGCGTGTCTATGAGCGCAGTGTACGGCACTACGCTGATTCAATCAATCCTCACAATTAGGCTTAATTAAGAGATTTGAGCTCGAATGTTTAGTTAGCCATCGTGGGTCATGACTCACACAACAGTTATGGCAGTAGGCGTAACTCCTCAAATTTTACTAAGCCACAACTGAACGGTCAATTCACAAAAAATATAAAATAATGTGTATTGGCCCCATAATTTAATTGTAATTTAGGATAGGATGCATCGAATAACCGGAATGAATAAGAAAAACGTACGGGACGACAATGAACTTATTGTTTCTTAAACCGTACCAACATAACACACCTACATTCTCAATTCTCTCTTAGTTTACATTTTTATTACGAGTGATGACTGATGACCGACGGAATTAGATTTTTTATTGGGTACTAGCTGTGCCCCGCGGTGTTACCCGCGGTTTATT